ACTCTGTAAATATAAAAAAAAAATTAACGCATTTTTTCTCTGATTTTCAAAAATGTATTTTTTCGTATTGAGATGATCTTATTTCATTATTTATATTTCCATTATAACATCCAATATATATTATGGCGGAGGCTTAAAAATTACAAAATTAATATATATTTATTTTTATTTTACAGACATATATGGAAACATAATTAACTTTAATGTTCTTAAAACATCTTGCGGAAGAATAAAAAGAATATTCGCGAACACTAAAAACCCGCCAAATTTGCGAACAAACTAATTCTATTGGTTCAAAAAACACGCTGAATAAGCGAAATAAGGTTCTGGAGTACTCTGTTGAAATGTTTTAGTAATTGTATTATTTACGATTTGTTGCGTTTTGAGATATCTAGCATAAATTTTTTTAAGAATATATTATCAAATGAACTATTACTTTAATATTATTCACGGAGCCACATCTGTAAAGCCGTAAAACTTTTAAACTATTATCATTTGTTTACAAAAATAAATGTTTTATAATATATATTTTTTAAATTGTCAAAATTTTGAAAGTTAGTTACAAATTATATACTTTATTAGTATATTCTTAATTTTTATATCTTTTCTTAGTGCTTGGTTTAATTAATTGTTCGTTAGATTTGTAAAAAACTAACGAACAATTAATAAAATAAACTTTTAATAAAATAAGTAACTATAGTTAGTTATTTGAGTAAAATTTAATAGTACAATTTTAAAGAATTTCTAGAATGTTTCCAATGACGTCATGCTCTAAAACTCCTATGAATTAAACGCGCTTGAATAAATTATCAAGTCTGTATAATGCGCCTGGAAAAGCGCGTTTATTTTACATACTCAAAATACCAGAGAAAAAGGAGAAGACGAGCTTCGACTAAAACAACAAGATTTTGTTTTTCTTGGTATACATTTATTAATTAGTTTTATTCAAAAAAAATTTGCTCAGACGTTTTTTTTTAACATTCTCTTTAATATGAACACAACATGTCTCGGGACTTGGTAGTCTTTTTATTGAATATTGTGTTTTTATTGAACAATTGTTACCATTAATGTATGTTAACGCAGAAATTCTTTTACTAAAAAAATAAATTCCAATTTTTCTTATTCTACTCAAATTATAAAAAAAAAATATTGTAAGCGTGGTCAGTTACAGCGTGCAATTGGATTCGATTGTTGATCTTTTTAACTTAATTTTAAATTTAGTTTTATTAAAATTATAGTTTTTGTACAAAAAAAATATTAATTTTAATATTTTACATATTAAATTGTTTTAGCTTATATTAAATTGTTTTAGCTTATTATTTTACTTTAAACGTTATAAATACATTCACTGTGTACCCAAACCACGATCAAAATTAAACTCTTGTCCCCGGAAAACTTTTTTGGGGGATAATAGCCCATATATAGTAGGACATTGAGATATAAATTTGGAAATCAAACTATTACATCCGAGAGAGTTATTTTGATTTTTAATTTTAAAGCTAATAGACCTAAAAAATTGCAAAATGACAGAGGATTTTGCATTTTTACAGAACTTTTAATTTAACTTGGTTATGAGGAAAACATCTAGAAGTGATTTTAAGTGAAAATGCTAGTGTTTTTGAAAATTATTGTGGTTGTTTTTATCATTCCCAAAACAAATACCTTAAAATAATGTTTATTTTTATGGTGTTTTTCTCAAAAAATTTCTGGGAAAAAGTATGCATTTCAAAAAATAAACAATTTTCACAACACACTAGAACATATAAGTTGCAAAAATGCCTATTAAAACCAAAGGCCACAAAGAGAATAGAAAAGCTGTCTTTTGTGCCTTCAACAAGTAAAATTGTGAGCTTCGACAAGTAAAATTGTGAGCTTCAACAAGTATAATGCATAAAAATATTTATAATTTAATTTTTCAAAGGTGTAGCAGCAAATTCAAATATCATTGCAAGATGAAATAAATTTTTTTGAAGTTAAAAATAGAGAGGGGGTCAGGATTTTATGACGTTCTTTTCCAGGGGGTATAGGGAAAAAGGACAACCGGTGACAAAGGAAATAGTGACGTCTTTTATGGATGGCTTTTAGACTCTCCTTAGAGTATTGCGTCACAAGGTGTGCAGAGTTCTAACTCCTACTTGAAAACCTTAAATATCCTTTAAAAATAAAACTCCTTAAAAGTCCTTAAATAACCTTTAAAAAAGTTAAAATTTGATAGCTCTTCTTAATTTCTTCTTAATTTTTTTTTTTTTTTTAATTATTTTATTTTATTAAAGTTTATAGTAGATGGATTATAGTATTTATGGTATTTAGTATTTATGGTAATTATGTATTTATGGTAATTATGTATATAATAATTTAGTATTTATGGTAATTATGGATTTATAGTAGATGGATTATCTATAGAAAAGGATATAGTTACTTAGTTACTTCTTTGATGAATTAAAATCCTACAATTTTGTTATATATATATATATATATATATATATATATATATATATATATATATATATATATATATATATATATATATATATATATATATATATATATATATATATATATATATATATATATATATATATATATGTTTATATATATATATATATATATATATATATATATATATATATATATATATATATATATATATATATATATATATATATATATATATATATATATATGTATATATATATATATATATATGTGTGTGTGTGTGTGTGTGTGTGTGTGTGTGTGTGTGTGTGTGTGTGTGTATGTGTGTGTGTGTCTGTGTGTGTGCATACGGATTAGGGCTTGCATAAATCTTTGCGAGAGTGCTCGATGAATTAAAGTAAATTAAAATGGTTTAGATTAAAACAGAGCTGTATTTATATATTTTTAATAAATAATTTATAAAAAGTAGTTTTGCAGTAAGTACCACAGAAGCCTACCTTATCAAAACAATGTATCATTTCAGAAATACTTCAAAACGAAGCAGTTTTTAAAGCAGAATTAATTTGGTGTTTATATATTGTTCAAAGCAAATACTCTTTTAGATCAAGTCAGAATAAGTCTAAACAATTTGCTTCCATGTTTCCAAATAGCAAAATTGCCAGCAACTTTTCCTGTGGTCGAACAAAGTCTGGCTATATTGTAACTCATGGTATTGCCCCTTATTTAAAAAAAAATTCTGATAAAAGATCTTAACCTGCTTGATAACTTTGTGTGTATTTTTGATGAGTCTTATCATAAAGTTGTAAAAAAAGGCCAAATGGACTTGTCATGTGCGATATTGGAATGAAGAGAGTAATACTGTTTGCACAAGATATTATACTTCAGAGTTCGTGGAAAAGCTACAGCCCCAGATATTTTAAATATTTTTAAATCCTGCCTGACTGGTTTAAATGCTGAAAAAATGCTTCAGTTTTCTATGGATGGCCTTAATGTAAATAAACTGTTTTCGAAAATGCTCAACAAAGAACGTCCTAACAATGAATTAAGTACACTCATCGATATTGGTACCTGTGGTTTACATACTATCAATGGATTCTTACAAACTGGTGCTAAAGCTACTGATTAAAACTTAAAGAAGTTAATGTGTTAAATTTACCAAATGTTTCTTGAAAGTCCATCAAGAGCAAGTGATATGCAAGAATAGCTGAAGCAACAAGTCATGATTTACATGTTTTGTAGTACTCGATGGGCTGAAAATAAAAGTGTTGCCAAAAAAACAATAGAGGTTTGGTCAAAAGTAGTATTAGTTGTTGACTACTGGAAGTCTTTACCAAAGACTAAGCAACCTGGGTTTGGTAAATCAGGGTAAAACACAAGCTTTGAACATTTAAGTGCTCAAACAAATGAAGTTTTAGTTCCTTTAAATATATATGTTATATATACATTGACGTTTTTTGAAGGTATTTTCAATCTTGCTATTTTTTTTCTTCTAGTTTCTTTTCAAATTGATAAACCAATGACTCCTTTTCTGGTGGTGACACTCGAAGAACTACTACGCAACTTTTATGCGAATTTCATTCGATTAAATGTTCTTTTAAATGCCAAAACTACAAAGTCTTTGTTAAAAATAGATTTGTTTAATTTGAAGTCAAAGGTTAGTGTGCTGGGGTCAAATTTGTTTTTTATCATTTATTAATGACATATCATTGATATTTAATAATCTTCAATTATCAAAACTTTTTGTTGTACATTCAAAAAAGATTAACAAAGAAAAATGGTAACCTTAGAACTTTAAGCTAACAGAGCTGCTTACCGGTTGGTTTGAATAAGAATACTCTTGAGCTTAGACTTATAAAACATATTTTAGTTGTATGCTTTAAACTATGCACAATTTGGTTTTTGCAAATGAAATAGAAAAAACAATTATGTGCGTTATTATTCTTGTAAAAGACGCAGACAACGATGTCAACTCTATATTTGCAAATATTTATTTTCGTGTGTTTAATCTCGGGAATAGTCTGACATTAGAAGTTGTAAACTATGAAAGTATTTTTGTTTGTTATGTACATCGCTTCATTACTTATTTAGGGCCAAACTGTTAGTGTTAAACTAGACCTTTGCAACTTTTTCACTTCAAATATGTGTGTCCTTTGAACAGCTTTATAAGAACATGTATCGCTGTTCTAATAAAGTTATGAATAAATTTATTTAACTAATTATTTATTTTTTAAACGATAAGTTATGTAAAAAATATTTTTGCTTCTTCTTCCTAAAACATTAAAATTATTTGTTGAACACGTTTTTCGTTAAAAGTCACAAATGTATACTTTTTTGCATTGTTTGTTTATTTAACTGTTAATCTTTAACTAGTATTGATTTAAAATAATTGTCCTAAAACTAATCTATTTTTATTGACGCTACATGTTTGGTGTCAAAGTAGCAATATTATTTGCTATGTAAATCTTGACAACCATATATACAATTAATAAATAAGCTTTGTTATTAATAAATAAATAAATTTGTTTGCTATCTTTTCTTAAAAGTTTAAGACTAACAAAACTTAAAGATTTTTATAGAAAATGACTTGTTTTAATATTGATAATAGTCTTTATAAGTCATTTTTTTGTATATATATATTTTTGGAAACTCTGTTATGTTCTGGAGTAGTATATGGTTGGACAAGTATTGTTGTTATATTTAAACACGAGAAATTTTATGAAAAGTTTTGTTCGGTTCTTGATACAAACTCTACTTTAAAACAAAATTGGATGAAGCAAGAGAGACAAAACTGTGATCATCAAGACTTGATGTTAAACTTAATTTTTACAGTGTCAGCAATTTGCAAATGTGCAGAATTTCCAATCGGTGTCTTAATTGATAAATTTGGTGCAAAGAAAGCCCGATTAGTTTCTGGGTATCTTGTTATATTTTGAATACAATTAATTCTTAATATTATTTAAATTATAGTTAGTAAAATATATATTTAAACATATATATATATATATATATATATATATATATATGTGTGTGTGTGTGTGTGTGTGTGTGTGTGTGTGTGTGTGTGTGTGTGTGTGTGTGTGTGTGTGTGTGTGTATATATAGCTTGACGTTTAATATATGATACTGACCACATGCAAGCAGTTTTATTAGTAAATAAAAGTTTTAATTTTTCAATTTTTTCAATTCGGTAGGTAGTTTAAGGTCACCATAAGGAAGAATAACACTCTATCATGGTCAAATAAAAAAAAGCTTTTAACGTCAGTAATCTTTCTCGTGAATAAAAAGCTTTTAGAATGAGGCTGTCATAGTTTTATCTACAAAAAGAAGGATATGCTGAATGAATTTTATGTTTCTATCAATGGTAACTCCGAGATATTACTGAATAAACAAGTTTATGGGTACTTATAGAATAAACACAATGAGTTAATTTTTTGTTTCGAATAGCAATTGTAAGAGCAAAGCATTTTTAGTTGATATTTGAAATATCCAAGAAAAAACAATTTACATCTGTGTGAAGATCAGACTGAGAACCACGTACAACATAGGTCGAATATAATTTATTATTAGCAGTAAAAAGTTTAATAATATGACTTACATCATTTATAAACAATAATATCAGAGAGGGTCCTAAAACAATCGTGGAACACCGCTTTTTACAGACATGGTGTGGAAGTAAGATTATTTATATTACTCACTTTTCATCTGGTGTGAAGAAAATCAGTTAGCAAATTCAAAAAATTGCTAATTATTCAGTAAACAGGTAATTTCATTAGTAACTTTGGATATAAAATAAAATCAAAAGTTTTCTAAAATCAATAAAGATGATGTCAGTAGGAGTGTGGCGCTGAAGATTTATAGTTCAGTCATGAAGACCTTTTAGGATGTTAGTACAAGTACTGCGTTTACTAATAAAGCCAAGTTGTTCTTTTGCGATTAGTTTATTAAGTGAAAGATAATTTATCATTTTGTTATTAATAATTCTTTTCATTACACGACTAAATGCCAAGGAGATAGGTCTATAAAACTAAACTAAATGCCTCAAAACAACTAAATGCCAAAGAGACTGGTATATAATTACATAGGTCAATTGTTGTTTTCTTTTTATGAATAGAAATGACGTTTGCTACTTTCCAGTTTAACAGTAAACCACCAGTTTTAAATAAGGTATGAAACAAAGAGCTTAAGGAAGCTGATAACCTATTAGCGCATTGCTTTATAAGAACATTTGGAATGTGTTTTTTTTTTGCAATAGAGGGACGGATGTTAACGGACGAAAGACAATTTAGAAACCATTATCAGTTGTAAAAGTACTTGCAAACTAGTTATAAAAAAAACAAAGTATTTCTACTTTGTTTTGAGAAAGTGTCATATCGATAAGATCGATAAATCAGATTGATAAATCTTATTGAGTTTACTACTCGTTTTAAATTTGATACTTATAAAATAGAAAAAACTAACAACTATTTAATGATATACTCAGTTATATACCAATTTCAAATTAAAAAAAAATATTAGTAGACCGTTCTTTTATATAGTCAAGTTTTCCTTGGACGAAGTAATATTTCCTGATGTATTAAAACTAGCAAAAGTAATTCTAATTTATAAAAATAATGATCACTCACATGTTTCCAATTACAGTGCTATATCATTGCTTTACGTATTTTCAAAGATATTTATACGTGTACTTTATAATAAAATCTTTGAACATTTAATAAAAAAACTACTTTTTTTATCGAAATCAATTTGGATTTTAGAAAAATCATACAACTAATCATGCTATTATTGAATTTGTTGATCAAATAAATAATGGCTTTAATGAAAACAAACTTACGTTGTTTATATTTATTGAACTAACTAAAATTTTTGACACCGTAGGTCATTGCATCTTATTAGAAAAATTAAAGTATTATGTGGTAATTAATAAGGACTAAAATTGGATTAGAAGTTACCTTAGAACACAATAATACAATAACTGATAGAACAATAATAACAATACTGATAGAACACAATAAGTTCAAGACAAGGAATACAGAATTCTTATAATACCGTGTGGAGTACCCACAAGGATCATTACTAGGCCTTCTCTTATTCTTAGTTTATATAAACGACTTAAGTAACGCATCAGTCAAATTCAACCGAATTATGTTTGCAGATGATACAAATCTCTTGCTTTCCAACTATAGTGTCAAGCAACGTTATGCTGACATGAACTTTGAATTAAACAAGATAAATGATTAGTTTACAGCAAATATACTCTCAATAAACGTCAAAAAAAAAAAAGAATACATTATTTTATAAAAATTTGCAAGAATTAAATCTTCTCTTTAACTTACATGATCAATTTTTAAATAATAAAGAAATAAAACAGGATGATTCTATAAAGTTTTTAGGAATAGTTGTTGACAAGCATTCATCTTGGCTTCCCCATATTAAATACTTACAATCAAAAGTTAGTAAAAACATTGGTATTTATCGATTTCGTCCTTATATTAATATGCTATGTCTTAAATTATTTTAATTCTTTTTAATTTACTTTTTATTAATAATGCCATTATTACATAAGGTAACATGCAACCTACAAAACTTAAAAAAAAAATAATGATGAAAAACATGCGTGTAGAATTATTTACAGGAAAAAATGAGGAAAACACATTAAACCCCTGATGAAAGAGTTGAAAATGATAAATGTTTATAAAATAAATATTTATCAATACCTAACTTTCATGTATAAATATACAAGTAACCTCACTCCAGCTAATTTTATTTATAAATCTGGAAAAAGTATAAAGGAAAAGTATTTCCTTAGAACAAATCTTTCAAATTTTTTTAAATTGTCTAAGAATATAATTTTTTTTTTTCAATTAAAAGTTTTCAAAAGCAGTTCGAGGACCTAAGGAATTATTTTCAAAAAAAAAATGCTAAAAAAGACATGGTAAAATCATTTAACTTATTTAAGTTTCAAGCAAAAAACACATTTTTAATTTTGAGGAATAATAATAACTCCAATGAGTTTTTTTTAAATAGCTTTACTTTTTGTTGTTTAGAGAAAGTAGTTGTGCACTTATTCTTTTAGTTATTTATGTATTAGTTAATATATTTTAAATCTTATTTAAAATATATTAACTATGTTTTAAATAAGATTTAAAGTATAGTTAATATATAAATAAGAGTATTTAAATTGGAAGTTTTACATGTTGCTATTGTTTGCAGTTTATTAGAACATTTTGACAATACTTATTTTTTTAAGGGACAAAGACAATCACTTTAGTTATATATTGTATGATGACATTATTTAGTATAGAAGTGAAGGTTTGCCAACAACCTTCAATAACATATTTGAAAGATAAAACTGTTCAACAGAAAGATTACTGTTCATTGTATCAAGTAAAGATACTAAGTCTCTCACAGTTGTCCAAAAAGGGGTCCTCACCTCTTCGGAAATGACCCAAAAAGGTTGGTTTTTAAAACTTTGCGAGTGGATCTTGAATTTGACAAGCATCGACTCAGTGGTTTGCTCACTGAAAACTCCGAGCATAGCTTCATTTTTTTTCAACAAATTTCTTAATGTGACGAATATTTGCATGTGCTCTAGGAGCAACTGAAATTCGAAGAGCTAAGTAAGAATGCTTAAGTTCTAAAATATTTTGAACGAATCCTGCCACTAAGATTTTCCAAAACAAGCTTATTTAACAGAATAAAGCTTTCTGAAACAGTCAAGAAAAAGCACTGCTTGGAATGCACAATGCTTTTCAGCAAGATTTTAAAGAATGTCAATATTCTTCAACAATTTGTTGCATTTCTTTCCATTGAACTGTCCCCATTGATATGCTTGCATTTGAAGGTACAAGAAATTCGGTCATTTTTGTGCTTGATATCATACTTCAAGAAGATGCTTAAAAATATGGTTGAAGATTCCAAGAAAAAGACAAAGTTCCATTGGATGAATTAGATCAAGAATAAGCTCAGATTGCCTGTTGGAGTTAATTAATGGAGGATGGACAACATTTGCATAATTCTTATCCAATTGAAGTTTTGCACCGGAAGATAGGAGCCTGCATAGTTGTTGCATAAAGAACTAAATGTTCTTGATTGGCCAGATTTTGTAAAGTTGTTAGACTTGACATTACACCAGCAACATGGGTATTTGCTAGAGTGAGACTGGATACCACATAAAATGTTGCTTACTTTTATGTCACACAAAATTATGTAAGACACATCTTCAATTTGTATGAGGGCTAATATTGTTCTAAGATTTTCACATGTTTCAGCAATACCTTCTGAAGCAGTAATAATCAGCTGTCTTTTTACACCATCATCCTGGGCAAAGAACTTGATTAGAGACATGATGATCCTTGAGTATAACTTTGCTTAGAATATGTCTCAATTACGCTGAGGATAATTTTCAAAAATGAACTACCTCTATCAATTCCAAGTTTAATTAAATGATACGATGTAAGTTCTCTTACTGAGAGAATATGGTTGATTAAGGAATTTAAGTTTATGCAGTAAACAATTTTCAAACTTTGTTTTTCATTTTTTTGTCCAGTATTAAAACATTTGACATCATGAAAAAATCTGCTTATTTTTTCCAAAGGTTGTCAGGTTTTCGCTTCACGTTTGCCTCGTCAGCTCTTTTTTCCATTGAGTTACTTTGAGCTAATGCAAGCCTTTTTACACCAACATTGGAAAGATTTGCACTGTTTTGAACATGGAACAATGATTCAGCAGTAAGTTGTTGCTGCTTGTACTTTGCTGAATGTCCTGACAGAACCTATGAAGATTTACCTTCACTTGCTCGACTAAGTTTGACAGTACCTTCTGAAGAGGCATCTTTTTTAGAGAATATATCAGCTGCTATTTATTCAGCACACTTATGGTCCTCTACAGCATATTTCTATACCTATAGTACAAAAGTGTGGATGTCCTTTTGCAGGCTGTGATGATGAAGGTTTGTTACTGAAAGCTTTGATACGGTCAGTTTCAGCGTAGGTTTTTGTTTTTTGAATCAATATATCAAGGTCGATCTGTGGAAGATTTTCTTTGAGCTTTGATTTGGCCACCCTACAAATTATACACTGATAAGCACCAGAATACCTTGTAGATGGCTTAACGATAATCGAATTAAAATCGTGCAAGCATATTATACACTGGCAAGCACCTTGTAGATGACTTAATAACAATCGTGAAATCTGTCCAATAAAACTAACAGTATCAAGGTGTTGTAGTTTGCTTCTACATGAATTGCAAATACTAGTTGGAGTTTTCTCATCATTGAAATTAACATTACACTTAAAAATATTCTTGACTCTTTCAATCAAAAAATCAGTCAGTATGTGATCACTTTTCTTCAAACATAATAAGCAAACAGATTCTCTACAATCACCATGAATTGGGCATTTTTTGACAAAGACAAATTTATTTTTAACAGAAGTGTCAAATTATTTTTTTACATTATCTTTCATTAATACAATGTTGTTAAGAGATATTTGCAACATTTAAGACAGAACAAAATGTTTTTTTTAGAGACTTTTAGCAATGGAAACGCATTTTGAAAATTATGTTTCTTATTGCAAACTAGGCAAAAACTTTAAATGCAATTTTCTCCTGAGGACATAATCAAAGGACTTTAACTTTTGTTTCAAAATGATCACTATAACCTATAGAATCACCCCTTCATAGGATTTTTTGGGTCTTTTCCAAAGAGGTTAGGCCCCCTTTTTGGATTGTGCTTTTGTTTGTTTAAGAGTGATAGATATAGACAAAAGATATAAACAAAAATCAAACTGAGAACAAATTTATTTCTAAAAAACAGGTAAATGAAACTTTAAATGCAATTTAGAATCAGCGTAAGGATATAGGAAATTTCTAATAGGTTCTTGAAAGAATGAAAGAAGCTAAAACAGCCATTGAACAATTTAAATTAGCAGAACGATTTAAAATGCAACTGACGCATACACAATATTATCATGGAAAAAATACAATGTTATTAAAGTTATTACTAAAAAATAACTAATTTTGAAGAGAAAGTCTGACACCTATCCAATTGTGACAACAGTGTTAACGGAAAAGTTTTACCACATACTTCGGGAAACCCATCAGTAGACTGGCTACAAAAAAACGATAAATTAATGTATAGTTTGAAATCAAAATACCTAGTACCTACTTTAGTTGTTCCGTAGATTTTAAAAAAGTCTTTCCGTAGATTTTAAAAAAGTTCCGTAGATTTTAAAAAGAGTCTAAAAAAGTTTCCTAGAAAAAAAATTGTTGTTTCCACGAATATATCTTGGAACTTTAATCAACATATCCAAGTCGATTTAGTTGACTTATAACCCCAGATAGCTGACATATAAACTCTAAATGGCTTAAAAAAACCAAGAGCAAGCGCTTTTCCTTGACCGTTGAATTCAAAAAGAGTTGCAGAAGTTTGTCCCTATATACTACAAAACGACAATGTACGTGGATATACAGCAGCTGTGATGCAAAAATTACCAAGCATATGGCCCATTCGTGTGACATTTGTAATAATCATGTGCACGAAATACTTTTATTCCATTTATGCCAAAAAAAAAAAAAATACAAAAAAAATATTCTGCAAAATACTAAAAAATATTCGCTAAAATATGAATTAAGTTTCTTTTGAGAAACTTAATTCATATTTTATTTTATATTTATTATTCGTTTGTTGATGAAAGTAGATAGAGGTCTGTAAGATGGAAGTAACACGGTGGGGATCGCGTTAAATATAAATATAATATATAATAATTGGAACTTAGTTGGATTATAAAAAAGCTACCTAGAAACATTCTTTCAACAGCAACTACAAATTTATCAAAATAGTTCTACAACTAACCGCAGTTTATGTAAGATACAGGAAAATTGTCTTTATTTGGATGTCAAGAACTTGACAAGTGCTTATGTAAAGAATCCAAAATACAATGTAAAACAAAAAGATGTGCCTGTAAAAAAAAGCTAACGAACTTTGTAACTAAAGATGTCACAAATCAACAACGTGTTTTAATAAAAGTAAAGGAAGATTATTATTTTCTAATGACATTCACTAAAAATGTTTAAAATTTCACCTATTATATTCTTTTTGTTTTTGAAAATATAAGTTTTAGTACTAAAAAAGTTTTATAGTTAATTAGTTTTGAATAAACAATTTTTTTTTAATGCTGCATTTGGTAGCTACTTTACATTTTTATAATTACTTTCAATATTTTTTGAATGCATTTGTATCTTTAGGTGTTTATACGCCATATCTTGTCTCGGACTTGGATTCATAAAAGTCGGTAATGATTTCTTTTTATATATAACGATCTTTAAATAAGATTTATTTTACAGATTTAGTAGTAATTTTTACTGTTTACTAGTTACTAGTTTACTAGTTACTGTTTTACAAACAATTTTTATTATAATACTTACATGTACAAAAATTAATTTATTTGAAGTTTTTTTTTCTAAAATTTGAGTGATATTTAAAAAACTTATGATTTTTACATAATGTAAAGTTTTAAATGGAACATTTTTAAAATAATATTTACGTCTCTTCCTAAGGCTGGAGAGGTGATGTTATAAATTCCAAATATTTTTAAATCATTATTTAATAAAATCATTTTTGATATTTTGACAACATTTTGTTAAAACATCTCAAAATTAACACATCAAAGTTTTTGACGTTCGTCCAAAAATTTTTAAAGTATTTTTAGTTAAAAAATATATAACTGTCATGCTCAAACATTTAATTAATATGTTAAAATTTTCAAAGAAATCCAACAACATAAAATAACTAGTAGTATAAAAAATTTATTTTAAAATTATTTGCCAAAAGTGTGACTTTTCGTTTGCGGCGATTTGCCAAAGTTTATCGGGCATTTTACCAGAAATTTGGCACATGAGTAAAAAGTTTACAAAAAATTTACAATTTTTATGGAATAGTAAAAATAAAATTTAACTTTTTTTTTGAACGCACAAGTTTCTTTTTATGAAGATAGTTTCTTTTTAGTAAAACTTTTACTTTAAATAAAAAATAAAATCTAGCTAAATACACTTGTGATCCCACATAAAATTCTAACAAATTACTTTGTAATGTTCCCTTGTTTATTAATTATTTAGGCTCCTTGATACAAAGCAAAATACTTATATTTCATAATATATAGTAGTTTTTTTTAAGTGTGTTGAATGCTACCATTTGGTAATGTTTTTGTTTTTTTGGTCATAAAATGATTTTGTCATAATTTGGATATATGTAATGCTACCAAGTGATAGCTTTTCACATAATGCGACAATATGCCACTTTTCATATGCCACTATATGCCACAAAGCATTTACAAAATGCTAATTCATGCTCCAGTTTTTTTGATTAAATGACAATACCGAATAGGTTCTTAAGTGGAGAAGCTATAGAGGCCTGCAAAAAAGGTTTGAAGAAGTATCGTGAGCATTTTACACACAAGTGTGACCAAATCAAAAGTAATGAAGATTTCTTTAGGCGATTATTTTGTTCTAGTGATCCAGTAATTTCTTAACTAAGAACAACAGTTAGTACTTAAATGAAATTTTTACCAGAAAGTCTTCTCCATCTGTTAAAAAGTGTTTAGTTGTTGCTCCCATATATATTCATTTAGGAAACCAGAGCATTTAAAATACCTGGATTATGAAAAAATTTTAATTTTTTGATAATTTGTAGAAAGTCATGATTTGAATAAAAATTGACTGTAACAATAAAATGTTTATTGCTATGCATAACAAGGTATCTATAGCAACCAAACGAAATTATTATCTTTATATTAAATGCATACCTCAGATATTGGTACTCGTGCCAAGTTTAGTGTATATGGTACACACAAACTTCATAAGAATATTAATGAAAAATTATAAGTAGATTAATACTATGCAAAAAAAGTATCCATAACAACCAAATAAAAAGTAACTTCTTCAAAAGAAGCTTACCTTGTACTGTACTTTTGAAAAATTTGCTGTATATAGCACACCAATGAATTTGAGTAGATGGCACAGAGCTAGCGTCTCTTGTGCCATCTACTAAAATTCATTCTAATGTTACACCTTATTCAATTAAGTTTAATCCTTTACTGTGACTAAGTACTCCAAAAATTCTTATTCATCTAGTTTTTTTCTTCGAACATCAGTTCTTTGGAATTTGCTCTTTTCACCTTGTTTTCATGATTCATAAAATTTGCACTCTTTTAAGTCGTCTGTTAATCTTGCTATATAAAAGCTTTATTTTTTCTTTTTTAGTAACGTCCAATTCTAATAGTGGTTGGAAGTGAAGATGCTTAAAAAAAAATTTGTTTATCAAATTTTAAAACGAGTTTTAATATCAACTTGTTTTTCAATTTACTGAAAAGAATGCATAGTAAAGTTCTTGCTTTCTGTAAACCATTATTTTTAATTTGTTTTAAATTCTTCTAAAGTACAAAAATGGCTTACACTTTTTTTTTCTTCAGATACATAATTTTCTTATTTTGTCATTAATATATATTGGAAAACTACAAAAAGCTGGTCATTAAAGTTGTGAGAAATAGAGCTTTTTCAAAATATTTTCCCTAACTGCGATACTATGCAAGTTGATTATCTCAATATTATTTTGCTATTTACCTTTAGGATTTAAAAGAAGTCTGAAAATAATGGTGTGCAGGTCTTTCTCGAAAATATATAAGCATTTTAAGGCGTTTAGAAAAACTTCTGCAGAATAACGAATTAAAGTTCTTTTTATTTTATTACTTGATTTTAACTGTTATACTTTCAAACCACTTCTATGAAAACAAACTTTCAAACCACTTCTATGAAAACAAAATTTCAAACCACTTCTATGAAAACAAACTTTCAAACCAAACAAACTTTCAAACTACTTCTATGAAAACAAACTTTCAAACCACTTCTATGAATTTCGGCAACAGGTAACCGTAGCTCTTTGTAGTTTGATGTTAATTTAAAGGTTCTAAACGCAAACTATTATATTTCGAGAAAAAAGATATCATGGTTGTTTATCCAATTGAAAAACAAAGTTGTCGTCAAAAAATCATAAATAAAGTTAAAATGAATTTTTTTGCACAAGTTAACTTTACTATATTATAAGCATGTGGTTATAAAAAATATGGGCAAGTATTAAACATAAAATGAATAATTAATTCAGTTAGTTATACAGGTAACAACATATATTTTAGGTTCTCAATTGATCTATCTAAAAAATTCTATATACGTATAAAAATCTATATATATATATATATAAATATATATATATATATATATATATATATATATATATATATATATATATATATATATATATATATATATGTATGTATTTTTTAATACATATATATATATATATATATATATGTATTTTTTAATACATATATTTATATATGTATTTTTTAATACATATATATATATATATATATATATATATATATATATATATATATATATATATATTATATATATATATATATATATATATATATATATATATATATATATATATATATATATATATATATGTATGTATTTTTTAATACATATATATATATATATATATATATATATATGTATTTTTTAATACATATATATATATATGTATTTTTTAATACATATATATATATATATATATATATATATATATATATATTTATATATATATATATATATATATATATATATATATATATATATATATATATATATATATATATATATATATATATATATATATATATATATATATATGTATTTTTTCTGCGATGTTCCGTAAGTTTAAATCTCGAAAGCTTGCTATAAAGGGAGAAAAAAGTCAATATTATTTTGTATCTTCATTATTTATAGGTTTAAGGAAATAATAACAAAATTTAAAAATAGAGCTTGAATTTTTAGCCTATAATAATATAGAAATGTTATTTCCCATTAAAAATAAAAAAAGTAGATTATGCTATAACAAATTATTTAAAATTATTACAAAAAAAATTGTTATTTATGATTTATAACTTCATTATCTTCATTATGCCTTTCCAAAATATCATAAATATCATTCCAAAAACATTTTGCGTAAGTTACATGTTGATTCCTCATGTTATTTCACTTTGACCATCTTTTTCAGCATTTTTTTCAAAAGTCAGCATGCCATATATTACTCACAACAAAGGTAGTGACTCTTTTTAATGTTTTTTTTCCAGACTCTATTTATAGAAATTATTATGAAGTAAGTTTTTTTAAAAAGTTAGACTTGTTTTGAAAAACAAGTTGTAGTAAAAAATGTCATTAACAAAACAAAAAGTCCTAAAATGTTGGTGTCCTACTCTAATTATTTGGTGTCTTTATAGCATGAATTTTTTGTCCAGCTTTTTGAAGGTATCTTTGATTTGAAAGGTTTAGACTTCGTTGCTCTTTGCCTTCTCCTATTTTTAATTAAATAAGCATCGAAAAATAAGGTAACAGCAAAAAGTGTTTTCCAAATTTATAAACACAACTTTGAGAAAGTCCGATTTGGCAGGTAGATTATCATTTATTTTCTCCCACTTTTTTAATCATATAACGAAATTATTTACATTCAGCACAAAATGCAGGGAACAAATTTTTCTATAATGCTATCTAGAAAACTTTTTAATAAATCAAACATACTGAAACACTTTTTCCAGTAAAACTTAATTTTGTAGACGTTAAAACAACATGTATTGCAAAGGTGGAAAATGTAACAAAACTTTGTATTCAAGTAAATGTAATTCTGCTTAGGGGTCGTCCACAAAGTATGTCACGCTATTTTTTTTAATTTTCATTCCCCTCCCCCCCTCCTGTCACAAACTGTCACATATTTCTGCACTTCCCTAAAAAGGTATGTCACATATTTCTCCCCACCCCCACCCAGTAAAACAAAAATGAACAAATCATTACGGAATTTTCAACATTCTAACAACATAGAAATAGTCTTTTTTATTCTGTTAAATATAACGAAATAAAATCGACTAAATTCAACTAATTTGGAATACCTTCTCAGTTTATTGGGAAAGATTGTCATCATAAAATAAAATAAAAATAGTTTTTTTATTTGAACCTTATGTTTTTCAAATTACAAATTAAACTTTTATTTTATCTATCCATTTATCATTTTCTATCCACGGAGATTTGAAGTGTTAGTCTATAGTTAGGCGGGGAATTTCTGATGTTTTTTCTAAATCTTCATCTGGAATGACGATTCCCGAAACATCAACTTCATTTTCATATAGCTACTCTCCCAGCAAACATGTTCTATTGGGGCCCATATGGGTTTTCCCAAGTG